AACTCCATTCAGTGAATCCATACCGTGAAACATAGGGGGAGAGAATCCGAGCGATTCTGTCATAAAAGTTTGAATTTTACGAATTAAAGACTTTTCTTCGTTTTCTTTTTGTATTAATAACTCATTTTCTCCAAAAGAGATCACAGGAACTAATGATGCGCTATATATTCAATGCAATACTTTATTAATATTAATTGCAATCATTAAGAATACAAATTGAATTATAATATTTTTAAAAAAAAACTTGATGAGATTTGTGCAAATGATTACCCGTTCCTTAGGGCTAATTTAATAAACCCTTTCCTTTTATTTAACGTTAATCTGAGAGTATTGGGTACGGCGTCGAGGGCTTCAATGGCTCCGCCAACCATTAATACCAAAGCGTGTCCTTTGCCTTCATTTCTGAAATTTAGTAAGAATTTGTTTGAACTCTGGGCCTAAAAATATTGACTTAATTTACAATAAATAATTTCGTAATTTTAACCACAATTCAGTATAAATAGTAATGTAGTTTATAGGATCGTTTGGCTCGCCCTCCCCTTCACCGCATGGAATTTAAAATGGGATTACAGCTTAAGTCTATGGCTATACTTTAACATGGGGCTAACAATGCTTTTCCTATGGCAATGCTAATCCTATGGGGCTAATGCTAAGTCTATGGACAATGTTAAGTGTATGGCCTATTGCTTTTCAATGAGGTTTTATGGAATTACAGCTTACGTCGATGACATAGGTTTAACACGGGTATTGCTATCTATGGGTTAATTCTAACCCTTATAGTGTTAATTTCACAATGTTAATTCTATGGGAATCTTTGAGCATCAACCGAATTGTGGTTAACGCATAGCTTTGTTTGTTACTTGTGATGTTCGAACTCATATCAGTTATTAGTTATATCTAAAGCCTCTTTTTAGGAAATTCCCGAACACATATATAAAAGTGTGCAAGGTACGGTTCTCTCAAGTTTTAAAATAGTTGGTAATTTAATTATAATAAAAACAAACCTCAATAACCATTCCATGCTTTGTTTAGTTGCAGAACAGGCACCTGTCCATCAATTCAAGCAAATTATTCAATCAACAAATACTAAATACAATTTAGCGCTTATCACAAATCTTAAATGAAAATTACATTTAATTTTTAGAAGCAATAAAAACTTGCAGACAATTAAATGTCAAATACGTTACTGATAAATTTCAATTAAATTCAATTAATTCTTAAACTGTAATAATTAATATATAGTATATTTGATAATACCTGACATAATAAATAGTTCCCGATTTATTGGGAACCAAAATTGTCCCTCAAGTGTGAGTAAGTGTGGAGTAATGTCTGGGAAAACACGCGAGAATTGCGTGCCTTCGGTCGCAAAATTGCCGAAATATGAGAAACAGAGGATTCCGTGCGGATGACAGCCGAAGATGTAATTCTTGTTTGGATCCAAATCTGTTGTCTTAATTAATTTGAGGGGAAAATAATCGGCGAAATGCTTCCAAAGAGTCCACTCTCTAACCCAATAATTAATTCGTCCGCCTTTTCACACATTAAGTTATAAATTCCATATAATTGTCAATATATTTAGTAAATACTAATTATTTCATTTATTACAAGTGATTTTAGTATACTATTCAAACTTCAAGTCGTTTACATAATTTACATACATATACAGTATATTAGTAGAGATTTTAATTAATAATATATTAAAAGATTATTGCGTTCGGAAAAGGGCTAAACTTAATTAAACTAATAAAATGCTCGTAAAACTAATACACAATATAATTCATACCCTGATTGCAGACGTTTCGGTCATAAATAAGCCATAAAATGTATAAAAATGATATGAAGTAATACCGCGTGAAGAGTAAAAATATTAATGTAAAGACCGATAGACTCCCGATAAAGAGGAAGGAACTGCTGTAATACAGAACCGCAAGTGTTTGCAGTCGTCTTTCAATTGGCATCAATAGTGGAGCGAATTCTATGCCAACAATTTTAACCATTTTTACGAATTCAATTAAAAAGTGGTTAATTAATTCACATTCAGATTCATTCACATTAATATTATTTATATGAAACTTTATCTTTGCCTCATTTTATGGGCTGATAATCAATGGCCTTCTCTTTTCACACGAATAGCGATAAAATAAAAACAGAAATAGAGTTCAATACTTGGAGTGACTAAAAATAGTAGAGAATCGCAAGTAATAAGTGGACATCACTTCAAGTTTAGTGCATTGAAAGTTATTTCTACTATTTATAGCTTTGTCGGCGTATTTGTTTAGAGCTAGAAATATAAAT